GAGAAAGAAAAAAGAAGAAGAGAGAAAGAAAGAAAGAAGAGAGAAAGAAAGAAAGAAAAAAGAAAGAAAGAAGAGAGAAGAAAGAGAGAGAGAAAGAAAGAGAAAAGAAAAAGAAAAAAGAAAGGAAGAGAGAAAGAAAGAAAGGAAGAGAAAAAGAAAGAAAGGGAGAGAAAGAAAGAAAGGGAGAAAGAAAAAAGAAAAAAGAAAAAAGAAAGAGAGAAAGAAAGAAAGAGAGAAAGAAAAAAGAAAAAAGAAAAAAGAAAGGAAGAGAGAAAGAAAGAAATAGAGAAAGAAAGAGAGACGGAGAGAAAGAAAGAGAGAAAGAGAGAATAGGATGTAGACTGCGTTCATGCTGTATTCTTCTTCACTGTTCTTCACAGCTTTGAACAGCTGATTGCTTAACCAACAGTCTCAACAGGCTGTAACAACGCTCTCGTTCTTCAGACAAATCTTCACCCAGCTGAAAAAAGTCTCCAGTAAAAAGCACCTGCAGTAAATGTCTGCTACCCACCAGAGGAATGTAGTCTTTGTTCTCGTTGTCACTCTCTCCGATTGAATCGCCGGACTTGCTGTGAGATCGACACATGAATCCTTTGGCAGCCCGGGTCAGGAGACGAGTCCTGCTGAGGGCCAACCTTACAGAGCGGAGGGAAAAGCTGATGGATTACAGAGTATCGTGTGTGAAGCAAACACAGCTACTGCGTTTGCTGCTTCTCTACAGGGATCGTGAAAGCAATCTCTACTAAATCACAACACATCTCACAATTCATTTAAGAAATATCTAAGCAACAAATACTGAGTACATTGTCACTACATACTGTATGGTTGAGACATACATGTACCCAGAGGCAGTGGTGATTCTGGTGGGGCCCTATAGACATAGATCAATTGGGGGGCCCTCCAACCAGCGTTCATCATCATGTTGTCTGCCAGTGTCCTGATTTTTTTTCTCTCCTATAGACAGATTATTCCTCTTCATTTTTCTTTGTTTACTTTTATTCACACACTTTGGTTATCGCAGCAACGCTTAGCGGGGCAACGAGAGTGAGTGCTGTCAGGTGGGGCCCCTCAGGGAGGTTTTTGCAAAATTTGCACCTTTGAGCCACTGCTTTTGGTTAAGTTTGTGAGCCTCAGGTGCCCTTTACTCGTCTGGGGCCCCAAGCAGTTGCCTGCCATGCTTGTTGACAAACAGCTCCTCTGCTCAGAGGATGAAGGTTGATTATTTTGGTAACCCTCTCCCTCCCCTCAGAGTTTGGACATTAGATTTTGTGCGGCGCCCCGACCACTTCTGGACATATTGGCATGGCATTTGATGAAAAAATCCCTCAAGGAATTTAAGAGTAACAACTTTGGACGCCAGTATTCTTTTATGACCAATAACTTACAGAACTAGTGACATTTTCATCAGTCTAAACGATACTTTTGTTTATTGCTATTAGCATGCTAACTCACTACACTAACATGGGAGTGTATCTTTGTTTGCAGGGTCTTATGTTCCTTTCACAATTTCCAGTCGGCCACATGAATCATTAAAAAGACCTTTCAAAGGGGTTTCTGTTCTTTCTTGTGTCCAGTGTTCAATGTATGTTTGTCTGGGTCAATATGCTGAAATGAGCCACCTGAGGCTCATATTCCATTAACTCCTTCAAACCTAAGCCCTTAATCTTGAAAAGATTTTTTTTTTTTAACACTGACATCGATCTGGCTAAGTGGATTTTAGACATTAACTATGGCTGTGTCCGAAATCACTAACTACAGTATTCACTATATATTGCTCATCGTATCCCACAATGCATGGTGAAGAATTGTGTAGAATCGATGGTCCCTATCCAATCAATATATACCATCATGCATTGAGTGCTCTCAGACAGACGAGAGGAGAGACCAGCATGAACACAGAAACACGTTATTACTGAAATCTAGAAGCTGTTTTTAATAAAGAGAAAAGGATTTTCAACAGAGTAACGTATGCCTTGATAACTTCATCTGAGCTCTCCCACGACGAGCTAACTTCAGAAGGAAATGGTCACAGTGTGAATATGAAGATTTTTCTGTTCATTGGCGAAAAGCTGAGAAAGTACGCAAAGTTTGAACTTCCCTCTCTCAGCTCTCTTTCTTTTCATTAATGTCGCTATTAATAAAACTCTGAGTGCACCACTGTGGATGCCCTCCATGAAGGAGATTACATACAGTATGGGTGCCATTATCCCCATACATAATGGTATCTTGCTTCCTTTCTTTTAATGTCGGTTTTCTCCCACGTCCCAAGAACGGCCTCATTGAGTCTGAAAGTCTTGATTTAGAAAGGAAAATTAGTTCCAATGTACCTTTTTTATGCCTGTGAGTGCTTAGGAGATAGTTCTGTACTGCATTGATATGTTGACTTCAAGACAGCAGACCCTTTAAAAAAATCAGCGAAGACAATTCAATAAAGATGAAGGTGATTTAAATATCCTCGTCCCTTAAAGCAGCAGGTAAACATTTCATTATTAAGGCTAAGGTCCTCGTGTTTGCTAATACAATGGCAGGTAACGCAGCTAGAGCCCACTTACGGAGCCAGACGGTCTCCAGACACCCACCTGGCGGAAAAAAGGCTCTCCACTGTTTTCTGAGATTGGTCAGAGGACACAGACGGGCTCCTTTGAGAGACTTCGAGAGAGACATGCGGAGAGAGACGCAGAGTTACACAAGGGAAGGGGCGAGAGAGAGGAAAGCAGCGGCATTTTCTGACAATTTTCTATTTAGTTCTCTACATGAGTCTCAGATCATAAAGAGGTAAAACACACCCACTGAGATGAACTAAAGACGCAGTGGTCATATACTCCAGTGGCAATCTTTTCCCTCTGCACATGAAACAACTTTTCTCTTGTGTGTTTCTGTGTGTGCGTGTGCCTTCAGTCCATGCTCGCTATATATTTTTTAATTCTAAGGTCCAGACAGCTTTTGTCAACACAAGCCAAAAAAACTGTTTCGACGTCCGCCATCACTTACGAGAAGATGGACTGAAATGTTAATTATCTCCTGTTGCACATTTGGAAAAGACAAAATGGATCGAGCACAAAAAGAGTGTACGTCAAAGGTCTTGGTGTTTGAAAATGGATAAGTAAGCCAAATTAATGACAGTTTTATGTGTTGCATTTACTTACAATCTGTCAAGCTGCATCTCTCCCAGCTGGAGGAGGGCGGGGTGCTGCATGGAGACGCAACATCCTCTCCGTCTAGAGAAGAAATCATGGATCAGAAGAATCAGAATCTGGGTTGATTGCCCAAAAAAATTACGCATACCAGGAATTTTTCATGGTGT